GGGGGGGGGGGGGCGCATGGCCTCTTTTTTTCAGGGGGGGGTTCGGGTACGGGTTGGGGGTTGGGTCTATGTGTACTGCATTCTCGAATCGTCCCCTCACTATAGCTACTGTGGATTTTCAGTATACAGCTATCCTCACTCAACGCGTCTATGTGTCCGGAAATCTCCAATACAAATCAACCTGTTAGGTTTCAGTATGCAGCTTTCGTCACTCAATGCGGCTATGTGTCCGGCAGTGGCAAACGTCACTCTACCGGTTAGGTCTCAATATGCAGCTATCCTCACTCAAAGTGTCTGGCACTATCCAACATCACTCAACTCGTGTTCAGTATGTAGCTATCCCCACTCAGCGCGTCTATGTGTCTGGCAATCTCAAAAACCAATCTATCTGTGAGGTTTCAGTATGCAGCTATCCTCACTCAACACGTCTATGTGTCCGGCAATCTCCAATATAGATCACCTGTGAGGTTTCAGTATGAGTCGATCCTCACTCAAAGCGTCAATATGTGTCCGGCACTATCCAACATCACTTCAACTCGTGAGGTTCAGTATGTAGCTATCCCCAATCACCGCGTCTATGTGTCTGGCAATCTCAAAAACCAATCCATCTGTGAGGTTATGCAGCTATCCTCACTCAACATGTCTATGCGTCCGGCAATCTCCAATACAGATCACCTGTGAGGTTTCAGTATGTGTCTATCCTCACTCGGTTCGTCTATGTGTCCGGCACTATCCAACATCACCCAACTCGTGAGGGTTCCGTGTGTAGCTATCCCCACTCAACGCGTCTATGTGTCTGGCAAACTCATAAACCAATGCATCTATGAGGTTTCAGTATGCAGCTATCTCCACTCAACGCGTCTATGTGTCTGGCAAACTCAAATTCAAATACCAATGCATCTACGAGGTTTCAGTATGTAGCTATCCTCACTCAACACGTCTATGTGTCCGGCAATCTCCATCACAAATCACCTGTGAGGTTCAGTATGTGTCTATCCTCACTCAATGCGTGTATGTGTCCGGCACTCCTGTTCGTGCGTAGAAGTAGATAGTCGAAAAGTAGCCGTTACGTAGGACGCAGCTGGGACAACTTGAAGGGTATGTGCTGAGAGGCTTTGGATGATAGTGCGGAGTCCCCGTGTTCTCTCGAGAATTGGGGCCTCTCCTCCTTCTCCCTCTCTCCTCTCTCATGCGAGCTAATACACACAGTTAAACAGCAGCCCCAAGTCCGCCGGCCCTTAACAGGGCTAGGGCTCACGAACACGCTAGCGTTCGTCCTCCCGGGAGGATCCGCAAGACGGTGCGGGCTATGCCAAGCGAGAGGCAGCGGGGTTCCAGCAGCCAGGGTACGCAACTCTGAACTGGACGCTTTCTGACTGGAACGGAGCAGTAACTGAACGAGTAGAGATGACAGAGGTGCAGGAGATGATGGGCATGCTGCCATCGCTACTGCAGGCCGAGTCGGAAGGGCAAGGCCAGGAGGGGTCGGCGGCGCTGCAAGAGGGCGCCGCGGGTGCGGCGGAATTGGGGGTTCCGGCGAGCAGCCACCGAGAGCTGTATCCTGCGGTGGTCGTCAGGGAGGGCGACACTGCTGGAGGAGAGATCAGCAGTAGGCCGGGCTTGGAAGGCGCCCTGGTGCGGGATGTGGAGGTCCCTGCTGCAGGTGGGTTTGGTGCATTCCAAGACACCAACTCTCTTCGTAGTACGTTCGGCAGTGCTTGCGTACAGCAGTCTGCTGCCGCTGGAGACACTGGTGAGAGTGTCACAGCAACCGATCAATCCATTCAGGGGAGGTCGGGTGGAGAATGCGGCACGGCGGAAGGGTCGTGTCCACTGTTCTGCCTTGCTGTAGTAGCGGGCGGGGCGCACAGAAGTCGCCGGAATTGATGGTGCAACAGAACGGACGGAGGGGCCGTGAAGTCGCGCAGTTTTGGCGCGCACTCCATCTGCGGTAAGGCGGTGGATCAACATGAAAGGCGTTAGAGTAATCGGCGCAACAGAACGGACGGAGGGGCCGTGAAGTCGCGCAGTTTTGGCGCGCATTCCATCTGCGGTAAGGCGGTGGAGCACCAGGACGGTAGAGAGACCGTTGGGCAGGATTGCCGGAGACACTCAACCATGGATCGACCGCGCGACGGCGCGGGGGGGGGTGGGCGCCGTACATGCTTGATGCTGGCGGTGTTTTGTTAAGTCGATCCAAGGCCGGCAGTAGAGGCCGGGTACGCCCTACCACGGTTGACACGCGCGACGGCGCGTCGGGGGGTGGGCGCCGATCACGCGGGAGCGGGCGGCGTTTTTTGACCACAGCACGGACGGAGGGGCCGTGGCTGCTTTGCCTCGTCGTCGGAACGGGGGGGGCAGCATTATAAGGCGCGCGGAGGTGGCGCGCAAACCCAGCACGGACGGAGGGGCCGTGGCTGTTCTGCCTCGTCATAGGAGCGGGGGGAGTAGCATATTAAGTCGCGCGGAGGTGGCGCGCAACCATCAGCCGGAGGTGGGTGGTGGAACGGGGCACAGCTAAGTGGGTGTCATCAAAGTCGCGTGGGGAGGTGCCGCGCGCATTTCATCAGCCGGGAACGAGCGGTGGAGACAAGAATGCGTCAGGATGGACGTGAGGAATTAAAGGCGTGCTTCGCCATCAAGATGTGTTGGTGGAGTAGTTGGAATAAGCTTGGATTTTGTTGTCTTGTTTTGTGTGGAGGTACCAGTTTGAGGTCGTGATGAAATCAAGCAACTTGTATTCGAGGAAATTCTGTTCACTGTTGCGTGTTTCTTTCCGCCGTCATTTGCGCGTTGTCTTGCACCCAAATCGTGGTTGTTCTGAATGTTTGTGTTCGTCGTTATGCCATTAGTGCATCCTTCGCCGGTGACGTTGTGTTGCTGGTGATGATGGCAAAGTGTCGGGGGGTAGAGACGTTCACGTTGGTAGAATTTGCCACCATCACTCATGTGTGGGGGCTACGCGGTTATATGTGACCCACGGCCTAAGTAGGAGGCGCAACAAGTGTTTTGTTTACCTGAGTTGTTGCAGAACAAGGGAGGGTGGAAACGGGCGTGTTTCTTTTGAGAATGTTACGCTTGAAGAGTACGCCCGGTCTTGGTATTATGCAACTTGACAGGTTGGTGTGTCGGGCAGGTATGCAGTTGTTAGTGGAAGTCGATTTTGTTTTCACGTACGGAAGCATGTTGGTTGTGTCTGTTTTGGGAAGCGACATCTAGGTGATGGCCATGTGCGTGTTCCTCTGGGCGCCGGTGTTGCGCAAGGGAGGGCACTAGGCTTAGGTTCCTGGTGTGCTTGTCTATAATGCAGACAGCGTAGATGCTTGGGGTTCGTAGTACAGCGTTACCAAGTTGTGGGGGGGCGTTTGTGTTTTGCGTAGTTGTGCTTGAAGGTTCAGTAGCAAGTTGATGTATCCTTGATTGAAGGAGAACTGAGGATTGATTTGGTAGTTTGCAGATGGTGGACCTTGTTTGAAGCAGGCTACATTCGGCAGGTTGTATATTTCTCAAAAGCGGGCATCCTTTGGAGAATCGAGTTTGATTGGTTTTTCAGTTGGAAACAGGTCATGATTTTGAGTTCGTGTAGGATTGCAGATGGTTGAACCGAAGGCAGGGAGAACGTACCTGTTCGATGCAGTTTTCGTGTGGAATGCAGATAGACAGGGAGGGCGTTGCCTGTATGTGTGTGACACCTGAAGAGTCAGTTGGTGCTGCACAGCAAGGAGTTCGTTCCATCATGTCGGAAGGATTTGTCAGAGGCGTTGCTCGAGGTAGTAGAGCGTTGCCTAGAATTTGTAATCCGAGCGTCTGGAGTGGTTTTATCTTTGTCTTCTTGCAGTACGGCCGTTGGAATCATTGGTGATATGGACGGCTATTGGATTTTGTTTGAGCCGTTGGAATCTTTCGTGATATGATCGGCGTGAGGCGTTGAATTTCTGAGGGGTTTTGATCCGGTGGCCGGGTTTCCCCTTTACTTTCGGTTTGTCGTTGTGTTTCGGTTTTTCGGACGTATTTTCGACGCACTAGAGGTTCTTTACTGGCGTAACGAACCAGGGAGGGTGTTCGTGCGTAGAAGTAGATAGTCGAAAAGTAGCCGTTACGTAGGACGCAGCTGGGA